TATTATGAAGTTATTTTGAAATTTGGAAGTTCAACCGTTTGGTTTCCTATTAGCGAACAAAATAAACAAACTTCCTCTTTTATATATATAGATTTCTTTGTGTGCCATAATGTTTTGTAAAGTTATTGGACTTAAATGCTTTTAACTATTCATAGAATGAAGGTATAACATGCACTTAAGAACTTTTCATTATATTCTCATTCTTCTCATTATTTACAAAATTATTTTTTTCAAAAACTAATTATGAGTTCCAGTAAAACAGTTTGTATACTCCATGCCACTAAGCATTCTACAACTATATGATACTTTTATCTGTTAAAAATGGTCTTTTTTATCACTGAAGATATATTTTGTTAACATTTTTACAAAAAAACACATGCTGTATGCTCTTGTAAATGCTGAAAAAATTGCATATTTGCTTAGATTTTTGTCATTTAAAATACCAGGTTGCACTTGTTTGGTCTTGAAATACCTTGTATTGCTCAAGAAATAATGTGTGTGTGTGTATATATCTTAGGAAAGTCATATTATATTCTGTTTTTTATGAATCAGATGGAGGTGTATATGGCTTTGGAGCTAATGGAGAGAGACAACTGGGTATCACTAGTGACCAGCCAAGTTTTCTAGAGCCTGTTCATGTGAAAGAATTGGATGGGATAGACATCAAGATGATTTGTGCTGGAGCTGAGCATTCAATGGCATTGACAGGTACAGTATTAGAAAACTTCATCTTTCTTTCCTAAACAAAAAACCCAAATTTGACCATAAAATAATAACAAAATGTTAATCTTAAGAAGTTTTGTTTCTCAAGGTGTAATTCAGACACACCATAAGCATGGTGTTTTTTTCTACAGTTTACATTAAAAATGGGGCAGATTGCCTGCCTCATTTTACTTCACTATCTGGTAAATTTGAAATATAAACTTTACACATGCTCAGCTATTTATAGATATAATGACAGCAAATGATTCAAAATAAAATGTTCACATACTGGAAGGTGCATGAGGTTCTTTCTCTCCAACTTCTTTATATGAATTTACAGATGCACCAGAAATCAATTTAAACAAACACTTAAATTAACTGTTCCTTTTTCCAGCTGTACAAACATTTTTAAGTTTCTAGAAAATGATGCTAAAAGAATGTGCAATATGAGCCTTTGGGGAGAAGGCATCAATGAGCTATTATTGGTGATCTTTGTGTCTGAGTGAAGTAAAATAGAGTTAATTTATGGGGAAAGAAGACAGAAAAATTAGAATTATGTTAGAATTGAAATAAATTAAGACAGAGAATAATAGGAGATGAAAAAAGAAGCTTTGGGCAACAAAATAAAGACAATTAAAAAATAACCTGGTGGACAAGTCATTATGAAAAAGGAGGAGGTAAATCTGAAGGTGAAAAATTCTGTTAAATCATTTGAATATCTTGGGGTTGAAGAAAAACATCTGTTTACAAAATGCAAGTTTTAAAAAGACCACCTGAAATAAAAAGAAACATATCGGATTCAGTAGAAAAAGAAGAGAACTTAAAATCTTGGTAAAGAAAATATTAGAAGAAACAGCAGGAACTAGAAAAAGAGATTCAACAAGAAACATTAGAAAGGTATTTGAAAAAAGGGAAGAGATAGAAATAAAGTGAAGAGAAGGATTTAAAGTGATGAGATTTTTGAAGGAATAATTCATGGCTTCACATTAACTTTGAAAATCATCTGCAATGTAGGACAGGTAAGGGTCAATTCTTACCTGTCCAAAAAAAAATTACTCACCAAAATTTAATTTTTATTATTACGGGCGATACAAGATATCTTTTATGAAATAATTTCATATTTAAATAAAGTGGTAGTAAGTTTTGGAAGTATGTTATTTTACTAGTTAAGTCTGTGGGTTACTTGATCAAAAATGAGATATCACAATGTAACCAGGAGCACACTGATTTTGTTTCTTACTAGAGTTGATTGCAGGAGTTTCATTGCATAGAAAAATGAAAAGTTTTCAGACCTTTTACAGTTTTTTTCAATAGGTTTTAGAAGCGTTTGTGATATGGACGAGAGCAAACCAGTTTTACCCTTAATACAAATAAAGATTTGTCTGGCCAAACCTATCATTGTTTTAGTGTTATGCTTGACCATCTTATCCCATTGTTTCTAAGAGCATAAGTTCAGCATTCTATGTATAAATAGGTGGAATTTTTTGCATCGTTACATAGCAACAAGTAGGGTTTAGCTGCTCCACTTCAGCAGGGGTCAGAGGTTAATTTTTATCAACGTCATAGTAGACCATATTCTCAATAGATTCCAATATATAACTCTTGATGTACTTTATATAAATTAGAATCCCAGTTTTGATCATTCACAAAATTAGAAGGAAAAGCATGGGTTCAGCATGACTTCATCCATTGCTCAGCTGGATGGGAAAGGCAACTAAGGTGAACAAGGGCTATTCAATCATTCTTCAATACTTGTTAGATACCCATTCCTTCAGGAATATAAATTATACAAAACTGAAGTGATTGCTGGTATTTTTTCTCCCCAAGACTGGAAGAAAACAGACTGGCATGACTTTACAAATGAGGATTTATGGGCAAGATTTGTGAGTAACATATTTTGACCCTCTTGTAAATCTATTTGTACCTTTAGAACAGTTTCAAAAAGTGTTTTGGATCTTTCTTTATAAATGTTATATTTTCGTAATGACATACCTTTTTCTCCATTTGACATTCCTAATTATAGAAGGCTGTCGTGATTATCACGACAAAGTTTAGCCTCCCAATTTTTTAATTGACAACTTTGATAAACAATCGGTTACTACTGTGGTGTGAAAACACTCACTTCTCAGAATGTAGAGGGCTCCTCAGCCTATCAACTACTAATTACTAGAGCCCCATCTTTTTCTTAAATGACAAATAACTGGAAATAAAACAGTGGAAAAAATTAAATAAAATTAAATCAGTGGCTAAAATAAAAGGACCACAGGAAAAAAATCATTGTACATCATATTCCTGTGTGCATGGTGTTTTGTTTTTGAATTTTGTGCAAAGCTACATGAGGTCTATCTATGCTAGCTGTCCTAATTTAGCAGTGTAAGACTAGAGCAAAGGCAGCTAGTCATCACCACCCACCATCAACTCTTGAGCAACTCTTTTACCAATGAATAGTGGGATTGATCATCACATTATAATGCCCCTACAGCTGAAAGGGCAAGCACGTTTGGTGGGATGGGGATTCGAACCCATGACCTGTAGATTGTGAGTCGAGCACCCTAACCACCTGGCCATGCCAGGCCACATGGTGTTCAAATATATTATAATACATTGTTAATAAACTTTTATAAAGTATGCATTTAGATCAACTGTGATTGATAATATGCTTTCATTTGTTTACAGTCATTTGAGTACTTTTTGATGAATGTAAATGTAATAAAATTTATCTTATGAGGTTAAATATAATAAAGTGAAATGCATAATCTGTAAAACAAAATAACAATAAACTCCCTAAAAATTAAAATAATAAATAGATAAAATAATTTCATGAACCTGTATCCATTCTAAATTGAAGTTTATTTTCCATTATAGTTGTTCCATGTTTTTACAGGTTTATTTGTTTTGTTTTTTTATTGTTGGTCTAGACAACAGTATGTTATCACTCAATGAATGATGAAAATGACCATAATAAATAAAACTGACGTACTTAATAAAATGTGAAAGAATAATTTGCCCATATACCTAAATTTGGCCAGATGATGTCATCGTCAGTAGGACTTGACAGCTAAGCTTCCAGCAGCCTAACAGAAATTATAGCACTCATGCTAAAATGAGATAGTTGAAAATGAGCTCAATTTCTGGGAGGAAAGCATGTAAAATGTTTATCTTTATGATCTGGTTACAACTGTTGTGTATTCATCCTGACTTGCCTCAAGAAAATTTGTGACCCAGTGTTCAGTTGTGCACTTTATTCACAAAAAACACACACACACAGTTATGTTTATGCATTTTAGTGTTTACAATACCTTAAAGATGAAGCAGTCACAATCTGTGTGATTTAGAATTATCTAAAGCCCTCGAAAATTTTCAGTACCAACTGTCACAGCTTGTCTCAGCAACTTAGAGCCTACTTGCTTTGACATGTTTATTGGCTGATTATCAAACATTGAAAATCTAAAAGCCAATGTACAATTATGTCAATTTGGACTTCCTCTATGATATATCATCGAAGATTCAAATGCTTTACTAATCTTTTCTGTGGTGTTTCATTATATTGCAAATATTATTGTATATGCAAAAAATGATTTATCTAAGGTCACTTATATTTAGGCACCTAGTGTTTGGGATTGGCAGTCCCTGCTTTCAAATATAGTGAAGAAAGTTCATAAGGAAATAGTTAAATGCATTTTCAGAATAAAATAACTTATAAATAGAACAATGGAAGATGTTAGTTTTTGAAATAAAACAAAGCAATATTGTATTGTGGTTTAATAATTAATTGTGAGTTTTAGATTAAGATAACTGAAATAAATAAAGTAAAGAAACTAGCAAAGGGTTAGTATTTGGAGCTCTAAATGAAAATGTTAACAACAGAAGTAATAGGGGATCAAGTAATTCATTTTAAAAATAAAATACCCAAATTATTATCTAAATATTAAAGAAGAAGCAGGAAAAATACATAAAAACACTGCCAACAATGGGGTATTTTCACTCTGTCCACTGCAGGAAATCAAACTCTAGATTTTAGTATTGTAAGTCTGTAAGTTTACCAAGGGCACAATTGTGGCTGAATTAGTGCATTGAATTTTAAAATAATTATAGTTTCTTTTTTTAACCTATATTAATTGTAGGTGGAAAAATGATTCTATGCAGCGGTGTATGTGTAGTTTTAATTCAAATTTTTCTTCTCTGTAGATCGAGGAGCAGTTCTAGTTTGGGGAAGTGGTGATGAAGGACAACTGGGATTAACAGATATTACTGATAATGCATCACCAACTGAACTAAAATTAGAAGCTAGCGTCATTTGCATTTCTGCTGGATACTATCATTCCGCCTTAGTCACTGGTATGTTTTACTGCAGTAAATATGTTAGTCTAAACATCAGGTATTTATTTCATTTTAAAATGTTGAATATGTATATCTATCTCCACATACAAAACAGAAGTTTCCACTGTGAGTTATGTTAATCTTAGTTATAAAGAATACAAAAATTTTTTAAATCTCAAACGCTAACATTTTCCTTACCCAAAATGGAATTTATGACAGTTGCTATTCGTGGTTCACCTGCAGTTGAGATGTTGCACATACCATTAGCCTTGAACTATCTCTCTCCTAAATCACGTTTTGACATCAAATTTGCTAGTACGTGATGTAATCATCATGTAGCAATAGGAGCGTGACCCATCCTCTAAGCACAGTAGATCCTCATAAGCACTTGCACTCGATATTAACTTCATTCTTAAATGAGGCAGTAATAATGTGCACTGGTATGGAAAGGAAAGAAGGGTGGGAGGATGTGCAAAGAGGTATCTATTGGAAATACTTTTTCAGGTAAGGAAAATCTTAACTTGTGAAACAATGCATTTACCTCTTTTCACACAGTAGCTAGAATCCCACATTGATGTGGTAGGGGGGCTGGTGCAAAAGAGAAAACCTAGATGAGCTCCTTTTAGAGAAGGGATCAGAAGGAGAAAACCAAGGGAGCATGACAACCAATAGCACGGGCTTACTAAAGAGGCAACATTCATGAGAGACTGCATTCTTCTCAGGCAGAGTATACTCTTTACCCAGATGGAAGTATGAAAGAGGAAGGAAAAAATGAGCCAATATGATATGAGCTGACCAGGTGCAAAGAGAGGTAGTCACCAGCAGGTCAGACAAAGGCTAATCCTCTGGGAGGGGAGGATGGTGAGAGGAGATAGAGGAAATGTGAGATAGGATGAGGGTACATGAGCTAAAGAACATGAAGGGGTACATGGGAATGGGCAAGATGGGAGACTAAAAGAAGTAAGAGAAAACTGACAGCAAGCAGCTTCCACCTGAGACTCCTAGGTGTGAGGAACACCCCAAAGACTTCATGACAAATGAGTGGAGTGAGATCTAAGCCATGTAGGAAGGATTGAAGAAGGTGAACAACAG